TGACTCTCTGCCAAAGCACCTTCGATTTATTTTCAAAGAAACAATACTCCTGACGTGCCAACGGTCAGATCAGCATTCTGTACCTCCAAGACAGTGAACAGAACACATGACCTTGAGGTGCCTTTCGTACAAATACATCACCCACCACGTACCAGTGTTTGGTTCTGGAACACAACCATGTTGTTTATCTACTTGCTGGAAGATTGTATCTGTGATGGTTATGTTAACTTAATGCATGGGGAGAAACAAAGCTAACAATTAGAGTTTCCTCTAACACTACTATGGTGTCATCGTACTCCTCTCTGTGTGCATCCACGTATGTGTACATATATTTCTCTTTAGACTGTAACATCTTTAGGCATACAATTCTTCCCTTAAAGCTGCAGGCTTGTGAAATGTGAAGGACAAGACCAGGCTGTCGTGGAAGAACCACCAGAGATAGACCCTGAACTTTCTTGAAACGTTTCTTTGAGCACAGGCAACTGACCAAATCCCATTCCTCAGGTGGCATTCTGATGCTACACAGGATGGAATTTAAAAAAAGCACACATACATGTATTAAGGCAAGGTCAGTTAATTCTATGCAATTTGAAAGTCACTTTTCAAAAAAAAACAATAAAACAGGCAAGCATACGCATATGGTGGTTAAATCATCACATAGGTAATGCTGGGCATTGTCATGTAAAAAAGTGAAGAGGATTGATGTGTTGTCCTGTGGTTAAGTGAGTACTGGTTTGAAGCAATGTTCCTTTTCTTTGGAAAATGAAGAGGGGGCACAACTGTGTCACTAAAGAAGATATTGTTCCAAAGAACACTTCAGTGATAACAAGTGCTGCGACACCTCTTGGAATAAATGCCAACCATTCTGACAACTTTCTAATCCAAGTTACAACCAAGACGTCAACCTACATTTGCTTGTTTTCTCCCACGACTGTATTCTGTTCTGTTCTGTCTTTATTGCAGTAACAGTCTGCTTCTGACATAGTGCTGATCCTTTCCTGACCAATCTTACACAGCTCTAGGTTCTATTCCCATGCTGCTGAACCATCTCTTCTTTGTTCTTATCTTCATGTTTCCCACGATTGCCGAGTTTACTTTATCCCATCCATCCTTCAGATCTCCTCTGCCAGAATGTACTGGCCCAGCACCTTAAAACTACTGCTGCTGCTGATCTTGTGTGCTCCACACATCCCCACATCTGTTTCTTGAGCCAGCTTCCTGATGTGCACAAATATGCTTGATTTACTTTGGTGTACGACTGTATAACTTCACTCTGCACATTGCACAGCATTAAAAAGCAGAGCACAAATAGATTTGGCCCAATTGGTCCATGTCACTGCTTATGATCCACTCAAGCCTCCTTCATACGACCCATCAATATATCCTATTCCTTTCTCTCAAATATTTATCAAGCTTTCCATCAAATGCATCCATAACAGTCACCTCAACCATTTGTTGTGGTAGAATATTTCACATTCTAACCACTCTCAGTAAATAAGTTGGTCCTGACTTCATGTTGGACAAATTGTCATCATAGATTTATACTGTACAGTTCTCGTCTTCCCTCCAAATGGAAACTCCTTTCATAGATTTGTCCTATCACACCCATTTGTGGCAGTGTAAACTTCAGAACTGGAACAACTGTTCATTGGTAGAAAGTAGCAGCAATTATTCTGTCTAGAATAAACATTTAAGGGACAAGGACAAACCGTTATCCAGGAATTGAAAGCAATTAGCCATGTCTGGGAGAATAAGGAGTCGAAGCTACACAAACAAAACTGTTTTAACAACTGCTTCATAAATGGTTGCCCTGCAGAATAACGTAAGGCATTAATCACAGGAAAGCTGCATTATCGCTAGACAGCCAATGCCAAATGTAACAAGGAACAAAGATGCTACTTCTGATAAGAAGGTAAGCTGCAGACTTGCAATATTGAGGATGACAGAATCTAAAGAATCATCAACAATATCACACCACAAACTTGAAGGATGGAAAACTGTGTAAGGTTCCAGGATTTCTTAGGAGCAGAACTCTGGAGAACAACACTGCACAAGGTTCAAACCCAGGTCGTCCAGAGACAGATACTGTCGGTTGGAATCGTAGCTAAATTTTACCATTAATCGAGTAATAGCCAGCTTAACTTGCTTACTTGGGAGATTTTATTTTGGTTGCTACAAGCAATAAAATTTAAATAATTGTTTCAGTATTTGGTTGTCTGAGAGATTTCTTAACAAGTAGCTGAATTAAAGGTAACTTGTGGCAATTTACCCACAACACTTTCATACACTTACAGATCTCCACCAGGTCACCCCACAATCTCCTCCTTTCTAAAGAAAAGAGCCTCAGCCAATTTTGAACTTCCCTGACAATTTCTTTGTTCTGGTCTTGATACCTTTTCTTGACACCTTCTTCATTGGATCTGTATTTAGATTTATTGCAGTGCTACAAGTGAAGTCTGGCCATGGGTCCATACAAGTTTAACACAGCTTCTGTTTTTAACTGTCCATCTGAATATAAATCCAGTGCTTTATTCGCCTTTTTGAAATGGCCTTATTAACTAGCATTCCTACTTTTAGTCATTTGTGCATCTGTAACTCAAGACCCCACTACTTCATTTAGACACTTATTTACAAGGAGCATTTGGACTTTGTGCAAAGTTTATAACCATACCTTTCTTAAAATCAGTACTGTGCCCTGTTACATTCAGTTTTGAGATTTTTTAATTACATCTTTGAATAAGACGTACAAAATTAAGCCTATTGGTCAATAATTCACTGAACTTCTACCTTCAATTTCCTTGGTGTTTAATCAGCAGGTCAGGCAGCATCTGCGGAGAGAGAAACAGTTAACGTTTGAAGCGTATATGACTTTTTCAGAATTGATCTGAAAAATAGTTCTGAAAAAGTAATTCCAGACTCGAAACAGTAACTGCTTCTCTCTGCACAGATGCTGCCTGACCTGCTGAGTTTCTCCCAACATTCTGTGTTTATTTCAGATTTCCAGCATCCACAGTCTATTGCCTTTATTGGTCCGTAATCACTTGGTTTGTCTACAGAGCTGCTAGCGTACACAGCTAAGCCCTCAGAAGCTGCTATTTCCCTCCACTGCACCCTCGATCAATCTTTGCTGATTTATAGTTCAGTCCATTCCTCTTTAGTCCTCTGATTTCATCAGAAAGCAACCAGCAATATATCCAATGAACATGCAATTTCCTGAATGACTCTTGACTCCCTTGCCACAATTGTTTCAGATCCCAAATGGTTTTTGAGTAAGACTCAAGAGCACCAATTTAGGAGAAATTCATATTTTCAGAAATTATACCTTCATGTTGAAATAAGTTAATAGTTTTAATCACAGAATGGTCATTTTCAAGAACACACATATTGTGGGACCCTGAAATAAGCACAACAATATGAATAAAGTCTGTGTCAAGGATTTCAAACATATTGCTCAGAAAGGAACTGAAACTCACCCTATTGTTGTTAAAAGAAATTAAACTTCATATCCATGCGAAGCCGAATGTGAAAACTCAAGCACTACAGCCTCACCATTGGTGGGAGGGTATAATTACAACATATTTACAATTTTGAAATAGATGGCAATAAATGCAATTACAGATAATAATATCTGACATATAGAAAGTCCTGTCCAGTAAAAATTAACATAGAGCTGTCTTGAAAAAGGAGAATTTACAGTTGCAGTCAGAGATGAAGAACAATTTTTTATTTTGCTTTTCAAGTCTTGTATACAATGGGATAACATTAAATAACAAAAAAAGATTCACAGTCAGAAAAAGGCACACTGATATTACCTACTGACACTTCCTAAAACGCACTTTTACAAATAGGAAAAAGTAATTAGCTTCAGAACGTCTGCCTATAGTTCAGCCTCACTTGACCAAAGTGAAAAACACATTCAATTGTTTCCTGAATTGAGACAGACTCTTAAATTCAATTTTTTCCCCCGTAACTTGCCACTTTATATTTCTGCCCTTCGGATGAAATGGTTTTCTTGGCTATCACTTTTACTTGGTTTTTGGACATATTACCACAAAGAACATTTTTTAAAAATATCTTTCATGGGATGAGGGCAGTCTGGCAAAGTTGGCATATGTTGTCCATTCCCAATTGGCCTTGAGAAGATAGTGGCGAGCCATTTGTATGAGCCGTTGCAGTGTGTGGTGTATGTACACCCAGTGTCATTCTAAACAGCATTTAAGGACTTTAACCAAGTAACAGTGAAGGAATGGTGATTTAATTCCAAATCAGGATGCTATGTGGCTCGGAAGAAAGTTTTCAGGTAGTAATATTCCCATGCATCTGCTGCTCTTGTTTTTCTATATGAGCTGGGGCACAAGACATTAGCTCCAAAGCCAAGATGTTGGTGGGGCCCACAGTCTTTCAGCCCAGCATGCTCAATCATTTCTTGATAACACAAAGTGAATCAAACAGGCTGAATCTAGCTTCTTTATAGTGGAAGAGTTTGAGATGGATTATTCAGTTGGCACATCTAGCTTCAGATGATTTAAACTTGGCTTTCGCATCCATGTACTGTGTTCTACCATAACGAAGATAGAACCTGTCCCTTCTGTTAGTTATTTACTTAATTGCTCAACACCATTCACAGCTACATGTGAGCGAATCCACTGTTTGGGGGATTACTTTAGTTTGGTTTCTGGCATATCACTTGTGCTGTTTAGCAGACATGTCTTCCTGTGTGTTTAGCTTTATCAGATTGTCAGCTAATTTTTAGATATATCTGTTGCTATTCTGAGCACATTCACATTCTACACTACTCATACAACAAGAGTTGGTGAAGGACACACTGGACCAGGAAGCTACAGATTATGGGAGAATGCAGTGCTGTGGCTGCTTGCAGTGGTTCATACCACTGAATCACATTCATGATAGATGGTGTCGTCAGTGTGTAGACGGCACCTCATCTCCATAAGAACAATGTAGTGGTCACTACTACCAATGTCATAGACACAAGTACTTACAAAAGTAAAATGATGATGGCAAGTAAGTTCTCCCGTGATACTGAAACTCTCACCACTTCCTTCTGGCCTAGTTTGGAACTGTTTTTCAGGACTCAGTTGGCTTAGTCAGTATTGGTGCCAGTGAGTCACTTCTGGAGATGGCTATTGAACCCAAAGTACATCAAATGCTCTTGCTGCCTTCAGTAGTTCTTTCAAGGTCTTGTTTAACCTGGAGAAGTACCAATTCAACAGCTTAAGGAGGACAATGGTTGATAATTATCAGAACATTGACCTTATGCCATGAGGACCTTGGCATCAACACCGAGGTCTCCCAGATGCATTCCACTGGTGAACAAGTGTCCTTTCCTTGGCTGGCCACTTAACATTGATAACAAAGGGACATTTAGACAAATCAACATTGATGATGCTCAGCATGTCATTTCCTACTGTGTACCACTGTGCAGACACTTCAGGTGAGTATGCCCTACTTATGGGACAGCTCCTGATGTCAGAGGAACTTGGGACATTGGGTAAATGTTTCTGAATTCATGACTGTGTCAGGCTAATCCTGATTAGTCTGTGGGACAGCTCCCACATTTGGCACAAATTCCCAACGTCAGTGAGGAGGACTCTGTAGTGTCGACTGAGCTATATGTGCCTTTGTCATTTTTTGATGCCACTCAGCTTTATTCCTATTGTTTGCATAGTGATGTGATACTCCAGAGCAGCTTGCGAGCGCATTCAGAGGACAGTTAAAAATTACCATCATTGCTGAGAGTCAGGAGTCACATACAGACTGGTTGCTAAAGTTCATAAACCAGTTAAGGTTTTAATACAAATTCAACTTTAGTGTAGCTGCAAGTAATGATAATGACATTTTATTCCATATTTATTTGACTGACTTTAAATTGTCCAGTTGCCATTGTGAAATTTGAATTCATGATTCTGGATTATTATAACCATTTTGCTTGACCAGTATTTTGCTAATCACCACAGAGCACCTCATCAGTTCTGTTGTCATGGCAAAATAATCCAAATAGTTAACTCAAAACCTCTTCTTCAAACTGACAACCTTTACTTCTCTTTTTTTTCTGTTCAATTTGAAAATGGAATAGAAAAATAGGAAACATACCTGAAAGCTCCAGGATGGGTTGTAACATTAAAGCTATATGTCACAAATGAGAAATACTTGTCCTCTCTGTGGAAGATCTCTCGTATTTTCACAAGGGATCCTGATGTCCAGGTGGCTGCCATCCTTCAGTTATCACAGTACTGTACCTTGAGAATGAACAGCATCAGCACTGTGATAACTGAGCCAGGGCAGCCAGATTGTCAATGCACGGGAGCACTCAGGTGCTGTCATCATTTCTAACTGAAAACACAAAGGTACATTAGGCACATGCGTCTCACAGCTGATTTATACTGTAATTTTCTCTAACTATGCTTCAAAGTGGAGACTGGAAGACATTTAGATTTCAACACGTTTTCTCAAACTGCTCTAATTTTACACAGTGATCTTACTGTCGGAAACAGATTATACTCATCAGTTTAATTCAAGAGGTTCAGTGTCACACTACATGGATGCTCCAAGAAAAAAAAAACCTGCTGACCCAAAATCTACAAACACCAAGAAAATAAACTCTTTTTAATCCCTCATCACCTCAGGTGCTGACAGTCAGTTGGGAGGATATAGGAAAAATATTGGCTACAAGCATCTTAGACAACTTGACCAACCAATCTATGTCTTCCCCTCATCCAGCATTCATGTATACGGTCTCGCACATGGGGTCTATGCATAATAATCAGGAATTAGAACTATTTATTTTGTCTTCTTAGCCTAGAGGGGCCAAAACCATCCAGCGAGAATATACTTCTGAATGTGGACCAAGTGAACTTTAGTTTCCATGGATTCGGTCAACACCACATGCTGCACTAAGCCATCACAGGATTTAGTTATACACTTGTATTGCCTTGCCATACGAGGCTATGGGCCAGTGCTAGAAAATGGGATTAGAGTAGTTAGGTGTTTGTTTTGACCACCACAGACTCAATGGGCCATAAGGCTTTTTCTGTGCTGTAGACCTCTATGACTATATTTGGTACATACCAGCCTTTATGCTCCACATGAGCCTCCTCTCATCTTTCTTCATCTAACTCGATCAATATCCTTCTAGTCCCTTTTCCCTCCAGCTTTTCCTCTAGCTTTGCCTTAAGCACATCTCTGCTAATCACATCAATTACTTTCTTTTAGTTGCATGTTATAACCACTACCCTCTCTAGGAGAGGCATAAACAGAGTGGATTGTCACAGACTTTCTCCCAGGGCGGAAATAACTATTTCGAGGGGGCATAATATTAACGTGATTGGAGGAAGGTGTAGGGGAGATGTCAGAGGTAGGTTCTTTACACAGAGAGTGGTGGGCGTGTGGAATGTGCTGCCGGCAGTGGTAGTGGAGTCAGATACTTTACAGACTTTTAAGCGACTCTTGGATAGGCACATGGAGGATAGTAAAACGTAGGGTATGCAGCGTAGTTTGATCTTAGTAGGATAATAGGTCGGCACAACATCATGGGCCGAAGGGCCTGTACTGTGCTGTACCGTTCTTGCCCAATGTTCTATGTACCTGAATTCCCTATTGGATTTATTACTGACTCTCTTATATTTATTGCCCTTTGTTCTTGCCTTCTAGCCAATCTCTCTTCATAACTAAAACTCTCCAGGTCAGCAATATCCTGGCAAATCTCCCTTGCATTCTCTCCACTGCTATCATATCCCTCCTGTAATGCAGACTTTCAGAACTGCACACAATACCCCAGCTGTGGCCTGACCAATATTTTATACAGTTCCAGCATAATCTCCATGCTCTTAAACTCTATGCCTCGGCTAATAAAGGCCAGTATGACTTCTTAATCACATTATCTAACCATCACAGTTACAGAGGCCAAATAGCTTGTTTCTGTGCTATAAATAGCATGTAATGTGGAATAAATCATGACACGCTATGGACAGTTCTGGAAACAACTCCTGACATCATCTGTATATGTGTAACCTCAACTATAGAACATGGATATTGTCCTATACTTACGCAGAATGTCAGGGAAGAAAAGGGTCACAGTGGACCAAATATAAAGTTGCTCCAAAAATACAGAACATGAAATAAAATGAATTCTGCACCCCTTGTCTACGGCTTTCCCCAAGAGCTGGGATAGTTAAAGATTATGTTAAAAATTGTAAAAACTGTTTAAATTTTAAAATGATGTTTTACACAAACACAAAAGATATTTCCTGTCGGCTTTGAACAGTTTCATTTTCAGCAACATGTACATTTTATGTCAGTTACCATATTTTACTAAACCAACCAATAAAGGCAAAACATACCACATCTGACAATAGCTTGTGGTATGCAAATTGGTTGGTGTGGAGTCGGGAAGTTTATAAACACTGCACTGTGACCTACATATAGCACTTCATGTTCATTAGCTGCTTTATTGGTCAATGTCTTGGCTGTTTTGAAAACTGCAAAATATGATCTTAATCACAGGTGTGAATGCTACAGTAGTTGCCATCTACACATTTTCAGTTTTTCTTTATCCTTTGAAGATGTTGTCTCTGTGTTACTGCCCAGGGATGAATGATTGACAGATCTGGACTTTCACAGAGTCGAATGAGTGGTAAGCATTCATACAGAGCTCAAGTGGAGAACCAGATTTCTGGTTGTGTTTCTGCTAATACCGTTCTTAGAGAGGTTCATTATACTGGTCTGAGCTTTGGAACTCACAAAGGCATTTGCCCGGCGGGGTACTATTTGGATAAAATGGAGTGTTCATAATGCTTGCTTGACATTTTTATGAGGTTATTCTTGATCTCTTCAGTGCTAGTTAGATGTTAAGCTCACTTGCAAAATTTTAAGAGGAGTGAAGTGTGTAAAGCTTCTCATACTATAGTGACATTGTGGTTGACAGTTTTATAAGGTAACACACTTTCTTCTTTGATGAAGTAGATTTCTGAATGGGTAATGAGTCTACTCAGCATTTTAGCATGTGCTACTGTATCATATGGGCTCTTTGGTTCTCTGTAGAATGCATGAGCAAACAAATGTGGAGATAGCATAGGGAAAGGGTGGGGTGAGTGAGTGTGTGAGAGAGGGTTAGAGGACATCACAGCCTTTGTTACAACTGATGAGAGGTTGGGCAGGCCTTGTAACAAGCTCACCTCACTCAGCCCTTGGTCCACAATCTGCTGCTGGGGTCAGCAGGCAGCACTCTCTCCAGTTTACAGATCTCCAAAGTGCTGATCGTATGTAACAGAGCTTTTCAAACAGAGGCAAGCCTGCTAGGTCAGGAAACTTACCACTGAATAGCTGCCTCAGCAGAAAAAATCCAGCCATTAGATTTCAATGTTACCGTCTATTGATAGATACACTCAGTCTTCAAACAGTAGTGTTACCAATCTTTACTGAATTACTGGATAGAGCTTTGACACCCAGTCGAAGAATTTTTAACACTGAAGATATAAAACGAAAAAGAAAATTGTTGTTTCCCCGAGTGTAACAAACGCTACCCGACAGAGAGAAAGAGTTAATATTTTCATTTTGTTTTTCAAACCTCTCATGTTCATTTAGAAATATATAAACTTTCCTCAATGCCCCAGCAAGTAAATGCATCTTTTGGCTGTGTATTGTGTCATACTAGATTTAGCGGTTCTATACCTGACTTTCACTGTCCCCATAATTGGTTTCCTCCACAATCAGGATTAGCATGTAGCTGCTGAAATCTGCATATGTGGTTGTCAGCGGAGGGGAGAATTAGAATTAGCTACAATGCCTCTGCTACTGTACAACCTGTCACACCAGGCTCACCACGACCACTTCAGCAAGATACTGGCAGTCACCTGTTTGCAGAACAGCTCAACGTGTACTAGATGGGAGCCAAGAAAACTGAGGTGAAAAACTGTATAAATTCTAGAGGCGGGCTCCTGAGGTGCAATGGTAGTAGTCCAGGTCCAAATTCCACCTGTCCCAGGGATGTGTCATAAAACGTCTAGGCAGATTGCTTTCAAACAACTATAAAGTGTGAAGTTACATAGCTTCAAAAGTGGACATTAAAACTGATAATTTACAGAGGTTAGCACTAGAAATATAAATGCATTCTTATGATTTAAATAGCTGGAGTTGTGACAGACTTATAGAATGAGTTTTTATGAAAGAAGACAAGGGAAATAGTTTTTCAAATAAGGATTCCACACAAATACAAAGTAGGCCTGAAACTACAAGACCAGGGACATAACCGTGTGCATACTGTGTTAAGTGGATTTAAATAGATTGTACAAGCAAAAGATAATTAAATAAGAGGCAGATAAGTAAATAAGTTTGATCTGAACTGGAGTAGGGCATATAAATATAATTGACTATAATTACTTTCAGTACATGTTTTTCAAGTCTAAGCCCATTTATTACTGCAGTGAAAACACATGTTAGGCAAAACTTTCACAATATGGAAACTTAAAAAAAAGCTATGAGCATCCAGAAAATCCACAAGTGCATCTGGGTGGTCTTGTTCAAGTACAAAATTACAGAGCCTGAGAAACTGTGCACTTCGGAAACAGCACATGCTGTAATGGATGGGGCAACACAGCGAGGCACAGCAAAAAAGATACAGGTCCATTTTTGCGGATAGGTAGGCAGAGATGCAGACTCAAGTAGAGATAGTGAAGGAAAGTTCCGTTAGATCTGCAGCAATCTGAGTTTCGAGGATGGATCTCAATGAGGCAAGAGGAAAAGTGGCACTCAGTAAAGGTATACCACAGAAATGTCATGGCGCCATGTAGCAATGGTTAATCATGGGCAAAAGTTACATGCAGGGCTGCTGGTGGGATATTTGATAGCTAGAGTAAGCGATTACTTCTGTAACACGAGACACGATCGATGTTCTGTATTCTAAATTCCAAGGTAAGAGACAGAACGAATCGTTTACAAGACAGGGGTTTTCAGTAGACTCAAAGTTTATGTCAGAACCAACAACATGGGAAAGAATACGATTAAGGTCCAGCCAAGTTGTTTAAATTATTAGGAAGCAGATTAAGAACAGAATCTCAAAAAGTAAGTGGCTAAGAATTATCATTAGCGTGAAGCGACTGAACAGCCAAAATGAGAAGCGAATGTATAGGACAGACAGATTCATTACATCTGGGATGGGAAGTGAGCCTAATGAAGAAGAGAGTGGAGACCAATATACTCAGTGGTTGGATAACGGATGCTTTAGCA